GTAATATCAACGATGCTTTTCTTTCCCGCTCTCTCGTCCCGCCCGTCCCTTGCCCTCCTGTCGGTCCCCCCTCTGCGCTGGAGGGCGAAGAAAGGGGCTCCATCGAGCCCGGGGCTCGAGTAATCCTGCAGTTTTTGCGTTGCCCCGCCACGGGGCTATGCTCGCCATGAAAGGTCGGCGTGGCGTTCGTGAGTACTCGCGTGCAGATGACTGTTTTTTTCACGATGGTGCAGGTGAGCATCTTCACGGCGGTGTTCGTCCGCGAGGCTCGTGCAGGTTCGCACCCTCACGATGGTTCTTGTCCTGTCCCACGTGCAGGTTAACATCCTCACGATGGTTTTCGTTCTCCTCCTGAGCTGATGCGGCGCAACTCGCACCACGGGCACGCCTGGCGCGCACACACACATACACGCACTCACACACACGCACGCAGGTATACACGCACGCAATCAAATTTTGGAGAGGATCGAACATTTCAGACACGCAGGTCTGTAACTCGGCGCGCCTCTTGCTCCCTCCTCCCATCCGCCCTCCACGCGCGCGCGCACACGTTGCGCGCGCACGCGCACTCCTCTCTCTCTCTCTCTCACGCACGCACACACGCACACACGCACACACGCACATATAGAAACCTAATTTCTGCCATTATCGATCCTCCCCGCGGTGATTTCGCGAGCGGATCGAGCAGGATGACGCTGGAGATATCCTTCCTACGAGTTGCTCGCCCCCCGCTTTCCCTCGGCCTTCCCCTCATCGCGCGCGCGCGCAAACGCGCGCGCGTACACGTATGCGCACGCACGCGCCACGCGCGTAAGCACCCAAACGAATTTGAGCGATCGCAGGCTGCATAATAGCAGCCGCCGCTCTGGCGCGGCACTGCTCGGAGCGAGCTTGCAGGCCGCCAGGCCGCGTCTCTCCTTCCTTGCCCGCGCTTCTGGTGATGCCAACTCCGTCGCCTCAGCACCCTCCTCATTCACGCTTCTTATCAGAATGACTCCTCCTTTCCCTTCCCGTAGAATTAACACGTGAAGCTGGCCGCTGCATTACTGCAGAAGGGCCGCCCACGCTGCGCCTGCCATCTTCTCGCTCCCCTCCCCTCTCGTTCTGGTTCGATCCTGGGGCGATCCGTGCAGCGAGGGATTGGCGCGGGGACGTGCGCCGACAAGTGGTTAACGCATGGGCAACTTCGAGGAAACGACCACCCTCCACGATCCCCCCCGTCCCACCTCGCCCCCCGCATATCGCTCGTGCAGCAGCGCGTGCCCGAAGACGCAGTGCGAGATTGCGACCATATGCTTTGGAAAGACCCCTCATCTTCTCCACGTCCCCCTCGCGGCCGCGGTCGTGAAATGCGCCATTAGGTGGCCGCCGTTCAGACGCTCAGATCCTGAACCGTCGTGAAGAAATTATAACGTGAGGTTTTTCGCTATGGACGGCCTCTGGGGGCTGCGGTGGGGGAAATATACAACAGCGCATGTGCTGAAATGCAGTCGAACTCTGAACGCAGCAATCCCCGTCTGCTCAGGGCTCTACTCTGGTCTGCAAAGCGTGCCGTGCGCTAGGAGTCGACCCGAGAGCCTGGGAGAAGTATATTTGCTTTTCGCTATGGACGGCTTTTGGGGGGTGCGGTGGGGGAAATATACAACGGCGTGTGTGCTGAAATGCTGTCGAACTCTGAACGCAGCAATCCCCGTCTGCTCAGGGCTCTACTCTGGTCTGCAAAGCATGCCGTACGCTAGGAATCGACCCGCGAGAAAGGGAGACGTATACCTGCCAATCAGCGTGTTTGAAAGAACGCCCATCCCCTCCACCTCTTCCTCGCTCGGGATCTCTACCTTCTCCGATCAACTAAGACCACCCAGTTGGTCGACGCGCGTGGCCGCACCAACGCGCGGCGTAGTTATGCGGAAGTAACCGTCGCTTGATCTACGGAAAATTGGCGACCGTCTGCGCAGTGCTCGAGATTGTCTGGCGTGTTCTGGTGTATTCTAGGGTTTTCTGTGGCACGGGTGCTTTGTTTTCCCGCGCTGGGCCCGACCCAGGCCACTAGCGCCAAAAAGCACGCTCCTCTCGAGTGATATCACGCCGTGTGGTCTCCGTGCATGGTGCGCATGATGTGCGTATGTTTGTGCTAGATAGCGGGTGAGAGATATAAGCAGTTCCTTTCAGATCTCAGATCTCGTCTCTCAAATTTCGACCAAGAGGAATGGGGGCGTCGTCTAAATCTAGGCATGTGTAAATACTGCACGTGTGGACATGTGTCGATACATAAACATATGTCGATATATATATATATATATATATATAGTTATATATATACACGTGGCTCGGTCCATATTGTGTATATGCATACATATGCACACAAAACGCACACACATGGCCATGTTCCCCTCCCCAAAAAATGAAGACGCAGACAGAGTTGCTACCTGTCCCTCAGATGCCGAGGGGATGAGAGGTGAGGCGATTTTGTCTGTGGCGGTCGATCGCGCGCTCGCCAGGCTTGGGAGTCGGACCTCCGATGCTTCCTCTACCGCGTTCGTGCGCGGAAGGCGCGTCAGGTGAGTTCTAATGTAGTAAACATCTCGCTGGAGGATGTTCAACGGCATCATAGCAGAGACCGTAGCGCTCGATGGCAAAACATGTGTGTCCTCTTCACAGTCCTCCTCCTCCGCCTCTGCTTCGTGTGTTTCGTTTCAGTCATGTCCCTGGATTTTCACTTTTCTTGGGTTGTGGTTCTATAGCCGGTTCCTGTTGCCTTGGCATCGGTGGCTCCTCCGATGCCGGCTATCGTAGTGATTGCCGTTGTGCTGGTGTGAGTGGTTCAGGGTCTTCGTCCTGGTGTGAGTCGTTCGGGCTCTTCGTAGTGTGAGTCGTTCAGGCACCACGTCCTGGTATGAATCGCTCGGGCCCCTGCTTGTGTGTGAGTCGTTCGGGCTCCTCGTGGTGTAAGTCGTTGGGGCTCCTCGTCCTGGGGTGAGTCGTTCGGTCTCCTCGTGGGGCCTCTTGGGGGCCTCTTGGAGGCTCTCGGGGCCTCGTGAGGGCCTCTTGGGGGTCTCATGGGGGTCTCTTGGGGGCCTCTTGAGGCGTCTTGGGGCTTCTTGGGGGCGTCTTGGGGGCATCTTGGGAGCCTCTTGGGGCCTCTTGGGGGCGTGTTGGGGGAGTCGTCCTTCCTTGTATGATGGTCTTGGGCCCAGACCTTCGGGCCCCTCGTCCTGGCGTGCGTCGATCGGGCCCCTCCTGGTGTGTGAGTCGTTCGGGCTCCTGGTGGTGTGAGTCGTTCGGGCTCCTCGTCCTGGTGTGAGTCGTTCGGGCGCCTCTATGCGTGTGCGTCGCTCGGGCCTCTCCTTGTGTGTGAATCGTTCGGGCCGCTCGTCCTGGTGCTCGCCGCTCGGGCTTCTCCTGGTGTGTGAGTCTCTCGGGCTCCTCGTGGTGTGAATCGCTGGTGCTCTTCGTCCTGGGGTGAGTAGAGGAGAAGGAGGAAACTGAGGAGAAAAAGGGCGAGGGCCAGGAGGAGACCCCTGGGGGTCGCCATGTGCGAGCATGGTCGCCGTGAGAAACGCGCCAGCGGAACCAAGAAAAGGGGCGCGCGCCCGCGCTCCTTGCCCGGCCTGGGAAAAGACGGAGGAAGGGGAAAATCATGAAGGAGCGCTGTGCGACAGTGCGGCGGTTGCCTGCGGCTACAAGCGCGGGCCTGGGAGTTACTACACGTGTTGCTTATACGCGATGAAAGGGAGCGCGCCCGCGCTCCTTGCCCGACCAGGGAAGAGGGGGAGGAGGAAGGGGGAAAGGATCCGCTCGGGCCTCTCCTGGTGTGTGAGTCGTTCGGGCTCCTCGTGGTGTGAATCGTTGGTGCCCTTCGTCCTGGGGTGAGTCGTTCGGCCTCGTCGTGGGTCTCTGTGGGCCCTTGTGGGCCATTGTGGGCCATTCTCAACCCTTCTCGGCCATTGGCCAGCAATCTCCCTGTGTGAACGAGCACCGATCGCTGGCGGAGCTCGCTCTTCGGTGACGCTGGTTCGTGGGCTGGTTCCTGTTCGCTTGTTCCTGGGCGTTCAGTACTGCAGACTCCAGGGGGTTGTGACAAAAAGCGGGGATGCACAAGGGATATGACAGAGACGTAGGTCCTGAAGAACGGCATATGAGCTGAAGTACTGGTCGAAGAGTGGACGCAGGCATAGCGCATCTTCTCGGGGCACCACTTGCGTGTGGAAGGCATGTCGTGCGCAAGGATTCGACGTGTCGGATCCCGCGACGTAGATGTGCCAGAGGTGCTCGTACAGTGCTGCAGAACCGCCAGAAGCTACACTGCAAGGAGTGCGTCGCTGAGAAAGAATGGGTGTCCTCTCACTGTTCTCATCCTCCGCCTCTGCCTCGTTCGATTCCTTTTCAGTTGTGTCCTTGGGATCTCCCTTTTCTCTGGTCTTGGTATGTTGGCTGGCGCGTGTGAGTGTGCTTTCGGTGATTCGTTTATTCTCGGTTTTCGTGATGGGCTCTCTTTTTACTTGGCTCTTTCGGGTTTGGTAGTCGTGCGGGTTCGGGATTTCCCGACTGCTGTTTCCGGGGAGTCGTGACCAAGGACGAAGGTTCGCATCGATGTGTGAGAGAGTGTATGTCCGGAAGAACTGTGGCATAGTCGAGTCCAAGACATTGCGATTCCCAGTCGGCTGTCCGTCGCCACTGTGGCCCATCAGAAGTAGGAGATTAGATTCGCATCCGTTCCCCAAGAATCTCTTTGTTGCTGTGAGTTGTCTCCGCCTACCATTTGTGCAGTGAGCTTCGCTTGGCACAGACGTTCCACTCGACCTCGCTCGGTCGTAACCCTTGGAACTTCTGGGAGTGGCGCTCTAAGACTGGTCGCTCGAAAGCAGCTGGCCCATCCCGTAGCTCTGCACCTGTTGGTGCCAGGAGCTCTTCCATGCAGAGGGCCGATCCACTAGCATACCGCGGAGACGCATCCTGCTGGAATGTCGCTTCCCGCCAACCCTATGCCGCGCTGGGTTCCCATGGCGAACGTTGACTCGACCGCTATGTTCATCGCCTTCATCACCTGGTATCGGCAGCCCTGTTCCCGCCGTATGTTCTATGCCATGCGCATGGACACGATCATGACGCATATCGATCACGGAGGTAAAGGCCCGGTGACCGACACTGAGTGGGTCGAGGATCATTACGTTCCTATCAGGAAGGTGCTATGCGATGGTATTTTGTGCAGGCGGTGTCGAGCACATGGTGGGCATTCTATTCTCCCTAATGGCTTCATCTTCCGCTGGTTCAGCCCTTTGTGGGAAAGCTTATACATGACTAACCGGAAGCCGCACCTGAACTTGTGGGTTCCCGCGGACGGCTATGAGTACCGTGATCCAGCCGACGGTGCACGCTCTCGTGGCAATGTTGCGCGTGACCATTATGGGACTTGCTTGGTTCCGCGGAGCAGGTGGGCGGAGGTGGCCGCTATCATGGGCATCGAGCCACCTGACGGAGTGGACACTGCATTGGATGTCACGGTGGACATGGCATTGGACCCTAGTACGGATCACGTAACCGCCTCTGCGCTGCAAGAGGCTCTGGATCCAATCTGTGAGCAAGCGGACGCGGACGACTCGCAGCTCTGATCGCTCCACGTCAGTATCAGTCAGGGCTATTGGTAGCTTCGCGTGCAGTTTTTTGCGCGCGTGTCCCAGAGACGCGTGCTTCTATGCTACATTCGTGCCTGGTCTCATGAGCCATGTGCGTTCTCTGGGTGCCGCAGCTTCCTTTGATTAGGCAGAGCAGGACTATGTCCGACCGTATCACTGGGCAAGCCTGATCTATTTAGTATCTCGTGCCGCGTGCGCACTGCAGGACTAGTGGGGAACGATCGCTGGGTCGTCGACGCCGTCGTCCATAGAAGTGTCGTCGTTGAAGTCATCGTTGTCATCGTGAGCATGGATCTTGTCGTCGTCGTCGACGTCGCCGCCAGCCTCTGTCAGTCGTTCCGGTGCTCGTGGTGTGAGTCGTTGGGACCCTTCGTCATTCGTGGTAAGAGTATGTCGGGCCCCTCTTTGTGCGTGGGTGGTTCGGGGTTCCCTTGGGTTCGTCCTTCGGGCCTCTCGCTCTGGAAGGAGTCGTTCAGGCTTCTCCTTGTGTGACTCCTTCGGGTGCCTCATTATGTGTGAGTCGTTCGGGCTTCTCGTGGTATGAGTCCCCTCCATGTGTGTGAGTCGGTCGGCCCCCTCTTCCTCGTGTAACTCATTCGGGCTTCCCGTGGTGTGAGTAGTTGGGGGCCCGCGTCGTGGGGTGAATCGTTCGGGCTCCTCGTGGTCTGAGTAGTTCGGGCGCCTCGTCCTGGTGTGAGTCGTTTGGGCCCCTCCTTGTGGTGTGAGTCGTTCGGGCTCTTCGTGGTGTGACTCGTTGGGGCTCTTCGTCCTGGTGTGCATCGTTCGGGCTCCTCGTGAAGCCTCTTGGAGACTTCTTGGAGCCTCTTTGGGCCTCTTGGGGGTCTCTTGGGGGCCTTTTGGGGGCCTCTTGGGGGCTTCTTTGGGTCTCTTGGCGCTTCTTGGGGGCTCTTGGGGGCCTCTGGGGGGCCGCTTGGGGCCTCCTGGGGGCCTCTTGGGGGCCTCTCGGAGACCCCTTGGGAGCCTCCTGGGGGTTTATTGGGGTCAGGTGGAAGACGCCAACACTATGGGTTCCGTGATTCCTCAGATCTGTTCGAGGGGACCCATCTGAGAGGCGGTGTCCCCGGCTGCTCATTTTTCACCCTCCTGTCTAAGTTGCCGCCTGGTGCTCGCGCCCGACATAATGAGCGAACCTGCCTTTCAGATGCAGCCCAAAGCTGCGAACCTGAGCAGGGTGGTACCTTGTGCTGCGTGCACTGGGGATTTCCCGGCTGCTGATTCCAGGGAGTCGTGATCAGAGATGGAGGTCGCAAGGATGTGCGAGAGAGGCTTGTGTCCAGCGGAACTGTGGCATAATCGTGTCCAAGGCATTGTGATTCCTTGCCGGTTGTCCGTAGCCGTTGTGGCTCATCAGAGGTAGGAGATCATTCCTGCATCCGTTCCCCAGGAATCTCCTTGTTGCTGGGAGTTGTCTCTGCCTACCATTTCTGCAGTGAGCTTAGCTCGGCGCAGACGTACTCACTCGACCTCGCGCGCGATGGCTACTCGTAGTGGCGAGGAACTGCGGAGTGATTGGGATCGTGCTTTCCGTCGTGCACGCCGCGGCTCCCCTCTTCGCAGCCGCTCCGATGATCGTATGCGCCCCCAGGACCAGAAACCCGACGTAGATGACGTGCTGGCTCATGAACTACACCTATGGAAGGAGGATCCTAACCCTTGGAGTTTCTGGGAGTGGCGCTCTAAGACTGGGCGTTCGAAAACAGCTGGCGCATCCCGTAGCTCTGCGCCTGCTGGTGCAGAGAGCTCTTCTCCGCGGAGGGGCCGATCCACCAGCATACCGCGGAGAGGCATCCAGAGCAGGGCGCGCAATCGCAGCCGCAGCAAGAGCATCCCGAGGGTACGTGGATATCCGTTGGCGGGTCGGCCGCGTTGCAGGACGCATGCGATGTGCCCAGACAAGCCCCATGAGCGACTCAGCAACACCAAGAGCGTGACGAGACGTGAGCAAGAAGCTCGGACACTCCACCAGCAACATGGTATTGACGAAATGTCCGAGGTTTCCACCGATCGGGCTGATGACGTGGATGACGCGCAGGTCCACAGAGATAGCAGTTCGGCTCCCGCATCTGGTCCTGCACCTACCAGGGAAGCGAGCCACGCGTTTCTGGACGCTCGTTTGAATTTGTTGGAGGAACACGTACGGCAGTGGGCTCTGCTAGTATATGCACTGTATTGCACAACTGTCGAATGTATTATTTTCCATTATGATTCTGGGTAGAGCGAGTTGGGAAATGGGATGTTGCTTCAATTTGACATCCGTTGGTCAGTTCTTCGATGAAGGTTTCTATAATCTATACTGGTGCTGCTTATTCTGCTCAGGTGATGCTGCTGATCACTGTGCTCGTTGTTTTTGCCTCTGACTCTTGGAGATTGCCAGGTTTCTTCGGGTGTGCGGCAGTGGGCTGCGATGGTGCATGGTCTCACGTCCAGTACTGGGATTACCTTACGATTCACCGCTGCATCAGTACTGGGTGATGTCGTTACTTTGCCGCACTTGTCCAGCAGGGCGTCCATGACAGCTCAGATTGCTGCCTACGTATGCTTGTCCAGAGTGAAGCGATTGCCAAACATCTGCGTCATGCAGCCGTTCTCCACTTCTGTTCGGCCTCGGCAACCCAGTGGGGCCCGAGCGACTGATGCGGAAGCTGTCTGGCCAGATCACAGCAGACGAGGCGATCCATGAATGGAGTACGCTTGATGACGAGGCCGCTGAGTGTGAGAAGATGGACCCCATGGCGAGGCAGCACCTGTGCGCCTGCTGCTACCTCAAAGGGAAGCAGGAGTACATGCCCGACGCTCGCGACTTCGGCATGAAAGCAGCCGCCGACTTCTACGAGAAGTACGTGTCGCAAGGGAGGTGGACGAGATGCATGGACTGCGCGCGCGAGAGCTGCCCAATGCCTTGTCCGTCTGCGCGGGCGGCCGAGGCTTCCCAAGGGGTGGCCGATGGCAACGCTCCAAGGAGAATCCCGCCAGATCATTCAATATGCAGGCGGTGTGTGGAACGTGATGACTGGAAGAAGAGCCTGACCCCGCAGAGCCACGGGTGTGCTGCTTGCAAAGATGTTTTTGCCGAAGGTGTGTGGGGCCCGAATATTATGAAACATCATCGGTGTGCCGACGCAGACCTCGTGTGCCCCGGCTGCGCAGAGAAAGGGTTCGCGCCCGGCAACATCGAGGAGCACCAGTGCGAAGATTGCTTGGAGCACTTGGGCAGCCTCGCGTTCGACAAGCACGTGTTGTACAACGCGAAGAGGCAAGAGAAGTCCCGCTTGGTGTGTCTGGACTGTCAGACGAAGCTGCGGTGTGGGAAATGTACAACGGCGTATGAATTGAAGTACTGGTCGAAGTCTGAACGCAAGCATCACGCGTCTTCACGAAGCACAACTTTGGTCTGCAAAGCATGCCGTGCGCTAGGATTCGACCCGACGGATCTGGAGACGTACATGTGCCAGAGGTGCACTTGCAGGTTCGGCGCCCGTAAGTTCAACCAAACGCTACTGAATAACCACAAGCATCACAATCCTATGAAGCTGCAGTGCAAGGAGTGCGTCGCTGACGTCGAAGAAAGAGTGCGCCACCTGCGTAAAGCGCTGCAGAAGAGCCAGCGAAAGTGCAAGTGCCATTGCCGCATTCACCAGGCCAAATGCCCGCTGACCCCCGTCTTCTTCGGAGAGAAACGCTGGCCGGGCAGCGACGGAGCGATATCCGCCGACGACCGCAAGTTCTTGGACGAGTTGCAACCGATGCCAGAATGGTGGAGCAAAGCCTGGGGACGATGAGGTACGGCGCGGAGCTCGTCGTCTCAGTTGTACTACTGGCGACACTACCTCTGGGTATAGTGAGGCTGGAAACAGGATGTTGCCTCAATGGGTTCGGGGGTTCTTGTATACATGGCGACGGCTTCGGTATGCATCCAATGGTGGATGTGCGTGGCTCATTTTCAGTGGCGCTTCAGGTGGGCTGTGCTCGAGGACGCAACTTGCTAGTGGGACTTGTGCTCCACTCGGCTGAACCCCGTGCTCTGGTTCTCTGGTGCTGATTAGTGTGCTCCGTGATGGTGCTGGTTACCCTGTTCTGGTGGGAGTGCGGGTTTCTGTACTCAGTGATGGTTCACTGGTGAGATGACGTTTGGATACATTGCGCAATCTGCCATGAGTGGTGCTTCTGTGGAGTTCAGGCAGTTGCATGAATGAGTGTGGGCGTTCATGGGGTTCAGTGGATTTGTTTGGTGCCCTCCTCTTTTTGAGAGTCGTTCGAGCTTCCCGTCCTGGTATGAAGCGTTCGGGCCCCTCCTCGTTGTCGGAGTCGTTCGGCGAGACGCCTAGGCGAGAGAGCCACGCGTATCTGGACGCCCGCATGACTTTGAGGGAGGAACACGTACGGCATTGGGCTCCGATGGTGTATGCTCTGTATTGCACGACTGTCGAGTGCACTTCTTACCACTATGACTCTGGGTAGAGCGAGTCGGGACACGGGATGTTGCCTCACCTCAGCTTCTGTTCGTGGGTTCTCTGGTGCTGGTTTCTGTATTCTGTAATGGTGCTGGTTATTCTGCTCAGGTGATGGTGCTTTTAGTGTGCTCGCCGTTATTGCTTTTTATTCTGGGTGATTGCTGGGTTCCTTCGGGTGTCCAGCACTGGGATGGGATGGTGTATAGTCTCTCGTGCTTTGGTTCTCTGGTGTTGATTAGTGTACTCCGTGATGGTGCTGGTTACCCTGTTCTGGTGGGAGTGCGGGTTTCTGTGCTCAGTGATGGTTCACTGGTGAGATGACGTTTGGATACATTGCGCAATCTGCCATGAGTGGTGCTTCTGTGGAGCTCAGGCCGTTGCGTGAATGGTTGTGGGCGTTCATTGGGTTCAGTGGATTTGTTCGGTGCCCTCCCCTTTTTGAGAGTCGTTCGGGCTTCCCTTCCTGGCATGAAGCGCGCGGGCCCCTCGTCGTTCTCGGAGTCG